TTATTTAAACTATTTGTTTTTTCCCTTCCCCTCCACAAAGTATACCAACATTAAATACAGTGAAAACAGGGGTTATACCATGGGGGGAGGGACATACAAAGCAACAAGAAATCATCTTATAAATATGTTAGAAACAATCGCAAGAAAGAAAAACCATTTGAATCCTTACCTTGGCGTTCATTTCGCCTAACATCAACTTATCTGACCATTTCTGCTTGTTTCAGACATATGCTAGTTATTGCAAATAAGGGAAAGCATGGGACCTATGTTTCTTTGGGCCTGGCTTTCTTCACTTAATATAATTTTTTCCAAGTCTTTCCATTTCCTAACAACTGGGGCAATGTCATATAGCTAACCATTGGTGTACTCTTATGATTGATCCTGTGATTCTGATGTCTCCTTGCTCTCTTCTTCCCTTCTTCCCATTCTGTTTCTGCTCTCTCCGTACAGTTCATACCAATCCTTAAGTGGGAGTGTAGCTCATCCTACCTCCAACCCAACATTCCTGATGTTTTGGAAAAGCTCTTTCAAGCTCGAGTCTCATAATTCAAATCCAGAGTGACTGCCCCACCCACCCTTCTCAGTTTCCTTTCTTCTGGCCCCTTCTTAAGGTAATGGCATAATAGTCCAAGCATAGCATGCGAGTCATCAACAACCCTTCCTCTGCCTTACTTTCTTTTCACTTCCTGAATTCTGTGAATTCTAACTCCAGAATAGCTTTCATTATTAGCATGCTCACAATTTTTTAGTACATGTCTTTATAATCTCTACCAAGGTTATTCAAACTTTCTGCAGCCATACACCCCCACCCCAAAACACAAGCAATACATTCTTTGGTTTGATTTCAATCATTTTTTTCCTTGATATGTGGCCTGATTTTATTTCTCCACCTTAGTCACACTCTGGATGGGGGGGGGGGCTACTTGTTTGGTTACGTTACAAAACTCTGAACCCAGGGGCACTGTCCTCCAGGCAAGGGCTCTGCTTTGCCAGCCCAGTGTCATCTGCTTAGAGAGTGACGAATGCTGAGTGAGAAACGTTGTCCGATCTTTCTGTCAAACCTTGATGTTCTTTATTTCTTACACTTTAGGTTTGAATGTGATAGCTCCACATTCAGTGGAAGAGGGACTGTCTTTGTAAAGAAGTTAGGGTAATTAATTCCATATATCTGAATTGGGAATAATAGCATTAGCAATTTATTTAAAATACATTTAAATTTACTTAAACTACATTAGAGAACTGAGAAGAAAAGCCGCAAGGGCTAAAAAGTTTACTCTGATCTGTATGAGCATTATTATTTACTTCAAAGATTGACATTGATTATTCTTGTGATTTACTCTACGAGGAAAAACCCATAGAACAGCCATCAGCAGGGTTTGTCTTGGATTATGTTCTAGCATTGAGACCTCTTAGATAACAGTTAACTTGAGTCTAACCATAAGAATGAGATTGGATGTTTGCTCATGAAAAGAAACTTTTTCTCTTTCTTTTTTCCCTTCCCTTCCCTTTCCTTTCCTTTCTCTCTTTTCCCTTGTTCCTTCCTTCCCAACAACCAGCTTTCCTTCCCTCCCCTCTTCCTCCCTCCCTCCCTCCCTTCCTCCCTTCCTCCCTCCCTTCCTTCCTTCCTTCCTTTCTTCCCTCCTTCTTTATTGGATCTTTGTTGGGGGGGGGATTCTCTTTTTCTTTAATAGCATATGCCAGAAAGAAACACATGTTGAGATGCACCTAACTGAGGATTCTCTTACTTCCACTACATTGTGCCCCAAGTTCTCAAGTGATCTCCTTGGTTCAGACTTTCACTAGCATTTCTCCAAGGGGCTTCTCAAAATATTTTTTCAAAATACTTGGAAAAAAATAGGTACTATTTACCCACGATTAAATAAACCTTAGAAACATTTGGTATCATATTCATTTCTAAAGTTGTCTCAATGAATACAAGTAAGAGAGAGACTGCCTATGTGAAACACATAAATAACCCACAGACTTGGCTTTTCAAAGTACTAAGTTTTCTGTTCAGTCTTTAGTCCTGTTTTGACCTGACACTCCCACTGTAGCATCCCAGTATTTCTTCTTACAATCTTCTTGCCCCATTAATCTGCCATGGTCTGTGTGGAGCCAGGACATAATCTCTGTGTCAGTGTGTATGTTCATATGCAGATAGAGACATGGATATTTGCCTCTGCTTGAAAATGCTTTCAAACCTCTTTAGTTCTCAAGTGTTTTGTGCCATGAATAAAGCAAGGCTTGAATTCCTGAATTCATTATTCTCTCCTCACTTCACGTTGCTACTCCTGTAGTGGTCCTGCTTTCCATTAACTAGAAGGACTTTGTTGTGAAAACCACTTGCTACCTTAGTACCGAGTTGGTATTTCATCAGCCATTCAGCTGAAGTGGTCCCTTGGTCTCTCTTTCCTCTTGAGCTCCGGTATCTCTCAATTCTCTGCTTCCTCATTTTCCTTTGGTAAGACAGACTAAACCAAGAGCTTAGTGTTAATTAGTGGGTTGAGCTTCCAGCCTCCTAGTGTCCCTTTGTGTATATTAAAAAGGAGACTTTGAGATAGAAGTTTTGCTCAGAATGTCTGCGTCCTATTTTTAGATCCTTTAATGGTCCTCTCCCCCACTGGGAGCAATGCTTGTTTTATCCCGGAAATGCTTGATTTTATGTTTTAAATGATTATAGATGTTGATGTTAAGCCACTGATGAGGACCGGATAAAGGCAATTTTCTCAGGTTCTTGTTTTCCAAGTCTTTTCAAACTACTGATGATTTTGTTTTCAGAATCTGCATCAAATAGTCCTATATGAAGATGGAGAAACTGAGGCAGACAGGCTTCTAGCTTCTTAAAATTAAAGACATATTTCTTTATTCCTTTATGAGAAATGGAAATATTTTCATCAAGTCAGGCTACTAAGTATAGCTTAAAGGAATTTATAAAATGACTAGAGACAATAAAGTAGGTAAGAACATAGAGCCGAGTTCAGGGAACGGGGAGGTTTGCTTCTGACTCTCTGGGGAACAGGAATTCTGTTTTCTAGGCTATAGAATGAAGTAGGAATATCCATATCATAGGATGCTCAAAAAATAATCTCAGATGTACAGTGTTGTTCAGCCAAAGCTTGATACTGACATAACCATGAGGTGGTCTGGTAGATTTGGAATAAGAAAAGTATGTAATCATCCATGTGAATAAAAGGAAGATCACAGAAAAGGAAACAGTTCATTTTCTTTAACGCTCATTAAAAAATATGACAAAATTCAAAAGAAAAGAATGTCTACTGCCATTCACAAGGCAGAAGACAACTGTGAGTGGGCAGTGATATCACACAATCTCAAAATTCTTATCCAGCAGGGCGTGTTAAAACTAGATTCTTGTCATGATTATTTGTCCTTGCTACCCTGCATGGAGCCACTGGACAATTTGGCACAAAGTAAACCAAAAATGTTGTTTAGCAGTGCAGCCATGGTAAAGCACATCCGTTTCCACAAAAACTTGACAAAGGTCTAGGAATTCATTTCAGTGCTGACTGAGTCTGGTTTCTGAGATCCAGCCACTGGTTCTCACAGTGTGATCCACTGGCTATAAAATCACGTGGGCAGGAATAGCAGTGCAGTTGTTAGGGCAAGGACTGAGAAAAGTATTCCTTCCGAAAACGGTCTCCACATGGGAAATTTGTGTACATGGTGAAACCATGCCTCCAGCGCAGCTTTTTGATGGCCAACTGGAGATGGAGTCTTGCAGATTTTTCTGCTGGGACTGGCCTCAAACTACCATCCTGCCATCCAAGTCTCTAGAATAGCTAGAATTACAGGCAGGAACCACCAACGCTGGGCTTAAAGATTATACACAACTTTTGTCTTATCTCCATGACTATGAGTAATGGACTCTTATCTAGCTGTATTTCCTTGTTTTGAGATGCCTATACAACTAAAATTTTTATTTGATTAAATCTGCCTCATTTTCCCCTTAAAAATGTTTCCTGCTGGGCACTGGTGGCTCATGCCTGTAATCCTAGCTACTCAGGAGGCTGAGATTTGAGGATTGTGGTTCAAAGCCAGCCAAGGTATGAAAGTCTGTGAGACTCTTATCTCCAATTAATCACCAGAAAACCGGAAGTGGTGCTGTGGTTCAAAGTGGTAGAGCACTAGCCTTGAGTGAAAAAGCTCAGGGATAGAGCCTAAGCCCTGAGTTCAAGTTCCACAACCAACTCTTCCCCCCGACCCCGCCCCGCAAAAAAATGTTTCCTTACAGTTTTTATAACTTTTGTTTCTTAAAGGCCTAGTGTTTTTATTGATCTGGAATTTATTCTTATGTAATATGAGACACCTGACTTAATTTTCTTCCAAAATAGAGAGCCTTGTGAAACTGGTTGAACAATCGACCTTTCCACAGCGATTCTTAGGTGCCATCTTTACCATTAATTGAATAGCCCTGTGCTCTCGAATCTGTTTATGGTTCCATCTCACTTGTTTATTTGCTCTATAACATAGAAAAGGCTAGTTGTTCCAATTCACTTTTTTACAGCTAACATTTCCTTAATAATGGAAAGAAATATCAGTGGTACTCACTAGAAACTATGTTGAAAATAAACTATACAACTTGTGGAGGAGGGGGAATCAGGAAGGGAAAAAAAACTGGGAAAAAATGAGGGAAGAGGTGACATAGTTCAAAAAGAAACGTACTCCTTAAATGATGTATGTAACTGTAACCCCTCTGTACATCCCATGTACAAAAACAATATAATGGAAAGAAAGAAAAAGAAACCTGGAGGAGGAAAGGTTTAAAGTCAGCTCAAACAGAAAACCCTGCAAAATATATAACATGACCAGTTACTGGTAATGAAGAGAGACTGACAGGCATTTGGAAAGCCACCTACAGGTGATGGAGGTTGAGGGACAATAGCTCCTTAGGGAGCTGGAATTTCACCAATGAGAGATGGGAGAACAGTAACAGTAAAGTACACTGAGAGCCCTGGAGAAAAGCAAAGTAACATTTCACTTACCTCTTTCACCAGCAAGTTTTCTGCTCTGTGTTCTGCGTCTTCAGGTACTGTGGAGTACAATGTCCTGATATCCCAAGAAACTGTGGCTGTCTGAGAGGAAAAAGGAGAAGCAATTAAGACAACTGAAAAAGTACGCAGCACACTACTATACTAAAAAAGCAAGAGGTAGTTGTTTGTTGTCAATCTTCTTGGTGGCTCACACCTCTAATACTAGCCACTCAGGAGGCTGAAATCTGAGGATCTCAGTTTTGAAGCCAACCCAAGGAGAAAAGTCCATGAGATGTTGATCTTCAATTAACCAGCAAAAAGCTGGAAGTGGAGCTGTGGCTCAAATAGCAGAGCACCATCCTTGAGCAAAAAAGCGAGAGTGCAAGGCCATGAGTTCAAACCCCAGTACTGGCATACGCACACACACACACACACACACACACACACACGATAGGGAAATTTTTATGTTCCTTACTGATTAACCTCTACAAATAAATAAGGTTGGAACATACCTTTCCATGCTCACTACTAGCATTATTTGTAGTTAGTACTGTTTTATCAGGGCTGCTGGCATTTGCCTTATGTCTCCTGGGATTATTTATTCTGACAATTTTTAAATTTTTTATCTTTAAGTAGTTGAACAAAGGGGTTTCATTTCAACATGTCAATTTATGGGTACAGTGGATCTTGATCTTGTCACTGTTTCCATTATTCACTCCTGATCTTTCCCAATCCCCTCTATCCTCTCAAATTACCTGGATCCACTATCAACTATGAGTATTTTCATACTGAGTATTATGACTTGGAATCATTTATTAAAATTATTGTTGCTATTCTTGCTAAGCTAAATGTGAAATGAGGGCAAATATGACAATAGTATTGGTTTATCTGATTGTCTAGTAAAGCCTTATCAAGATGTAAATGTAGGCCCCTTAAGGAATCTCTCTCTCCCTCTCCCTGTCTTTCTCTCTCTCTCTCTGTGTCTACTCATAATCAATAATAAAGAATGTTCAGTAAGTTGAGACCTTGAAGATAGAGCTCATTTTTAAAGCTATTTTTACTGAAATAAGCAAAATGTTTTCCCAATTATAAGCTAACCCAATAACATTCTCCTGAATAGATATACACAAAAGGATATATAAAGTACCTCTTAAGACCTGTAGAATAGAATTTTATAGGTCCTTTCTTTTTTAAAAATTAATTAATTAATATTTTACCTGGTGATCTGGGGTTTAAACATAAGGCCTCACACTTTCTAGGCAGGTACTCTAGCACATCTCCAGGTCTTTTTTTTTAATTGTACAAAATAAATCTGTTGTGGTAACATATATCTGAAGTCCCAGCTACTTGAGAGGTGGAGACAGAAGGAATACCAGTTAGGAGCTAGCCTGGCTGGCAAAGTTAACAAGACACAATTGCAAAAACAAAACAAAAGGCTGACAATGTGGCTTTAGTGTTAGAATACATGTCCAGTATAATGTACTAGGTTGATCCAAGCAAAAAACAATTAATGGGTTTTGGTGTGAGGTTTTCATACATGCATACAGTACACATCAATTATATTCATACCCCCAAGACCCTGTTTTCCCCCTTTTGCTTATAGCTACTCAAAATAGTCACCCTTTTATGGTTACATTTTGTTTTTAGATCAGGATACTGCATTCAAGAAAACACTACTTGTCTTGCTAAGTCTAGCTTATTTTGCTTAACATGATGATCTCCAGTTCTAACCATTTCTCTGCAAATGACATTATTTCATTCTCCTTTATGGCTGAACAATACCCCATTGTCTTAAATCCATCTATTAGTTGGTGACTCCTAAGGTAATTCTGTAAGTTGTTTATTATGAATTATGCTGCACTAACCACAACTGTGTAGGTATCTCAGCTGCAGTCTGACCTTCTTTTGGGTGTATGCTCAGGAATGGTAGCACAGGATTATAGGGTAGTTCTGTTTTTAGTAATTTGAGGAACCTTCATGCTAATTTCCATAATGGTTGCACTGATACACTCCCACAACAGCAGATATAAGGGTTCCCCATTCTCCAATATCCTTGCTGGATTGATTTCCTCTTTATGTGTCCTTGGCTCCATCAAGCTGGAAAGAGGTTTGCTTTTGCCTAAAGCAGTGAGTTCACATCACCAGCCATCAGCGTCCCAAAGTCTGCACACCTTTGTGGTTACATCTTGCTTAAGGGGGGGGGGGGTGTCTGTAGCATCCACAGTGCCAATCACAACTCTATATTAAGAAATATTCAGGGGGTTCCTAAAGCACAAGGTAGAGTCCAGTTATCTATCTATCTATCTATCTATCTATCTATCTATCTATCTATCTATCTATCTATCTATCTATCTATCTATCTGTGGTGTTCTCTAAAGATTAATGGTTGGAACAGAAGAGAAGCTCAAGACCCATTATTCGCTTTGGAGAAGATGGGTATGATATAGTTGAAGGGAGTTTCGGCTTCTGAGTTCACACCTGTTGTAGCCAGCTCTGCCACAAACCACATGGCACTTGACATTCCTTCACTTCCAACCCCAAACTCGTTTTTTTCTCCCATTTCCTCCTCATATAAATGCCATGAAGGCATACATGTTGGTCAGTTGTCATTGTTAGTGCCTTAGTGCCAATTTGGGTGCTTAATTGATTTTCTTTTGATTTTTTTGGTATGTGTGAGTACGTATATGTGTGTTTAGTGTAAGATTGTGTGACTGTGTGAACGTATGTTTGTCCATGGGATGTGAGGGTGCAGTATGTCTGAGTAGGCATGTGTAAGTAAGTATAGGGTATAAGTGTTCATGTGTTTTAGGTGTGTTTGTGATTATACATGAGTGTGTGATTATACATGAGTGTGTGATTATACATGAGTGTGTGTATGCATCTATGTGTGTAGTCTGTGTGTGTATCATGCATGGATGTAATGTGTGTGTATCAGCAAGTAGATGCATGTGGATGCATGTGATACACGAATGCATATTACATGCAAACTGTATATACATGCATAGGTGTTTTGGAAAGTAGTGCGTTTGCTTTCTGAAAGGGGAAGAATGTCAAGTGACTAATAAGATTAGAGGCAGCTAAAAAATAATGAGAAAACTAGGTTGTCGATATACCAGGTAGAAAGATGCATGTTCTTTTTAAAACACAGCTGTAGACTGAGCTGTCTGTGCTGCTGAGCGTTCCCCAGGATTTCAGTGAAGGATTTCAAACTAAGTACAGATATGGGAAACACGTTTTAGATACTCAGATGGACACAGCATGAAGGAGCTGAGTCAAATCTTATTGAGACTTTCTAAGTTCAAGCTGCTTCTTTAATGTTATGCACACCTGTCACATACTACTTATCTCTATCATTTTATGTGCATGGAATCTTTGCTTAAAAAAGCAAAAGCTTCCATAAAGTTTCAACTTTAAAAACTGTGGTACCTTTCTACTTATTTCCATTTTCTTTAGTGTCTCTCTGTGTGGAAGCAAAAATAAACTGATCAAATAATAAAGAATCACATCTGTGAAGGTTTTAATATGATTACAAAGAATTTCTTTTCTCAGAAATAGATGCTTTCAGACCACTACAAATTGCCTTGGCCACAACAGACTTCCTGTTCTCTTTTATAAACCTCTGTTCAACCATGAGTATAGTTCACTAGCATGAAACGGATCTGAGACTCCACTGGCAGTTGATCAAACTTCTCTTTTGGTGGAAAGAGTTTTATAAGGAGCTTATTGTACAAAGATTTGGGCGTTTGCAAACAAAAACCTCCATGAACTGATGCCTGCAGGCTGCTGTTTGCAATCGCAGCCCTGGGACAGATGTGTAGACATCTTCAACTGCAGCCCTGTCACTGTCTGGTTCTTGCTATGTCTTACTGGGTAGTCTTTGTGGTTTGCTGTAGCAACCATTCTTCTGGATCCAATGTCTAAAGACGGCTTCGTTCTAAGCACTTCTGAGTCCATCTCTCAATTGGCCAAAGGCCACTGTTGAAGTCTGAGTCTGTTTTTTTCCTTTCATAGAGGCTGAAAAAGCTTCCTCTGATAGTATTGTGGGTTCTAACTGTTCAAAACCCAAGTAAGAAATGATAACTTTTGGGTAATCAATCAACAGCCTCACAGGGAGAGCTTAATACATACTTCATAATAAATTCTGGCTTAAATATGTGTTTAAAATGTGATCTCCATCTAAAGTTATTAACTAAGGCATTGACATTGATGTTTATTTGATTAGAGAAGACATGTTGTTCGTTGCTCAGAAAAACATTCCTTTTGTCATATTCAGAAGAGTAGTACTGTTGGGATTTTAATCGGATTTGTTTTTTAACTGTGTGAGAATAATTCTTGAGTACCTTCGTGGTACCACAATGGCCCTTCTTATTTTGCTGAAAGGAAATGAAAATATAGAACGAGCAATGGTCCATGGCTAAGTCTTCTGCTGAGATCATGATGGAGCCAAGTCAAGCAAGAGACTTAGCTTTGACAATATTTCAGTAAGTACTCAATATTTAGTACTTCAGGATTTTACAGTAAGTAAGGAAGAAGTTCAAAGATTTTTACTCTTGGACCAGCGAACTACTTCTAATTGTCTGATTGATTTTCTAGGCCCCAAGATATATCCCATCATCTATCTCTAAAGGAGATAAGGACAAAATATTCTTTTATCACAAAAATGAATTATTGTTTTAACTATTCCAATTTATGTATAAGTAGGATAATGTGATACAAGGATGAGGTATGCAGAGATCAGGGTTTTAACATTTCAGTTTCTTTACACATTAAATTTGTTGATTAACATGTAACCCTATTGTCTACATACAGAAAATTGTGAGCCTGGATAAAAACAGATACACCAGGCTGGGTCCTTGGCAAGGCCCCAGTGGCTTTGGTCTGAGCTCTAGGAAAGCCCATGGAAGAGGCCTATTGGGAGTGACGTCTGTAGAGATAGCTTCAGGCAGAGCAACATGCTAAGATGACTGGCCAGTCTGTGCTACCCTAGGGCCTTTGAGCTTTCTTCCCCACCTTTCAGAAAGTCCCTTACTTTTCTCATTCTCTCACCTCTCAAGTTTCATTTAAATGTCTGTTCTGCTTACTTATTTTTATTTATTTATCTA